GGGGGGGGGAGAGATTATTAGTGGTGTTACATAAACACAGGCATAGTGATAGGAAACCATCAGACTATTGTTTGGAAATTTTCATTGTAATTAGCACTCAATAATTTTAAATATATTTAAAATGGCTGTTCAATTAAAGCTTTATAGTCATAATGCAAGTTAAAAAAAAAAAGATGGGAAAAATAATTCCAAACACAGCATTAAAACACTAGCTATGAAACAGTTAAACTTTCCTATGAAAAAATAGAAACTCACAAGTTATGAAATAAAACAAAACATAAAACTAACAAATGCAGCTTAATGTGAAGAGAAGTATCTGAAAACAACATTACTGATGAAGACTGAATATAGGGGATAGAAAGATATTAGGAAAGAAAAGAAAGCTAGTGAATAGTGGTATTAAAACAGATTCAATACGACCGGCTTATGAGACATTTTGGACCTGGCTGTATAGCAGCCCTTCAGGCACTTCATTAAATAGACCGTTAGCTCTGTTGTCATTTAGTTTTATTACAGCAGCACCTCCTAGCACATCATGACACAAAGTGTTACTACTCAAAGTACCACGGGGACGTGCAGGGGATGGGCTCTTCCTTCCAGATGGTTTTCAGCCTCTGGGCCCAAGATGCCACCATCCCCTTTCTTTCTTCTTCTGATGCAGTCTCAGGAGCAAAGCTGATCTGAGGGGCAAGCACCTCAAATCCGCAGAAGTGCAAGGTGCCGTGCTACGGCCACAGGAAAGAGCAGAGTTGATCAGGAGCCACACCCTTCACACAGCTTCAGGTGAGTAATTAAAGGGGGAGATGCTATGAAACAGAACTTCAAATAACAACCAAACACCTTCAATGCTGCTGGGTAACGGAAAACACCTGAGGTGCCCTCTGACCTCAGGGTGCTGCCTTCCCGGGAGATGAAGGACTGGGCAGCTGGAAGTTCCAAATTCTGCTCTGATCATTGAGGTTAATCAGTAATCCCTGCTACTGATTCAGACACTAAACTTTACGGTTTTGATTGATTAGGCAAATGATGGTACCTTCATATGATGGATTATTCTAGAATTAGGTTATTCTAGCTATAATGTGCCATGATAGAGGGTTTTTCAAGATATGTGTTAAATGAAAACAAGAAGTTTGAAACAACATGTATGGTATACAATTTGTGTAAAAAAGTAAACATAGTAAACCTAATAAAAAGTACATATGTAAGGATATATATGGCCATAAGGAAACATATGAGGTTACTAAAAGTGATTATTTTCCAGGTGGAATTAAGAGGACTTTCTATTTTTATATTTTGTAGTCTCACTTTTTTTCATAATATATACTTTTGCAAAGTAAAAAAAATAAAGATATTTTTAAAAACAAGAAGAATTTAAGCTTGGCTAGTTCCATGTGAGAGACCAGTTGGTGTGTGGAGAAAGAAGGCCAGGCTTGGAAATTACCATTTCCTCTGCCAGAGCATCACTAAATGGAGGCCCTGTGTCATCTCCTTTCAAAGACCACTTTTTCTTTTCTAGAAATACCTCTCCTCCCTCTGCATTCTTTCCCTTAAAACCCACACGCCACCCAGCTGGTGTTGCTCAGTGGTTGATCCTGGACCCATGAACCTGGAGGTCTGGGTTGGATTCCCCATCAGGGCACATGCCCAGGTTTCGGGTCTCCATTCCCAGTAGGGGGTGTGCAGGAGGCAGCTGATCAATGATTCTCACTCATCATTGATGTTTCTCTCTCTTTCCCTCTCCCCTCCTGTCTCTGAAATCAATAAAAATGTATTAAAAAAACCAAAAACCCAAAAAACAAAAACCCATGCCCTGTCCAGGCCTGCCGTACCAGGGGTTGGTGGGAGGTTAGAGGCCCACCCCTCACTGCCACATTTTAAAAGCGAGCTCACAAACTTCTAAACATGTGGTCACCCCTCCGTATACAGACATCCCTTCCTTACAACGGGGGAGGACCCCCGGTCCAGCCTCCTGGTCTCCCTGGAGTTCTGTGCTGGGCCGCAGGGGGCGCACACAGCGGCTTGGCATCTGCTCGGGAGGGGCCCTGAGCCCTGCGGCGCCCTCCGGGGCCGGGGGAGCAGCACAGCCCTGGCGCCACGGCCCCCGCGTGGGGCCGAGGAGCGC